CCGCCCCCCCCCCCCCCCCCCGGGGGCGGCACCCGGACAAGGAATTCACCGTCCAGATCAAAGACGTGAGTTTTTTTGGGGGGAAAACGCCCAATTTGGGGGTTTCGGGTCAAATCCGGGGGGTTTTGACCCAAATCCGAGGGTTTTGTTCCGAAATCGGGGGGTTTGTCCCAAATCTGGGGGGTTTCAGCCCAAATCCTGGAGGTTTAACCCTGAAACTGGTTGGAATTTGGGACTTTTCTCCTCCAAAATTTGGGGTTATTTTTTTGCCAAGTTTGCGGGGTTTTTTCTCCTAAAATTGTCTTTTTTTTTTTTCCTCAAAAAAGTCTTTTTTTTGGTCGTTTTTTGGGTCAAAATTTGGGGTTGTTTTTCCTCAAGTTCTGGGGTTTTTTTCCCTAAAAATATCTTTTTTTTGGCCAAAATTTGGGGTTTTTTCCTCTCAAAATTCGGGGTTGTTTTTTCCCAAGTTGGGGTTTTTTTTCCCCTAAAAAATATCTTTTTTTTTTTGTCTAAAAGTTGGGGATTTTCCTCTCAAAATTTGGGGTTGTTTTTCCTCAAGTTTGGGGGGGTTTTTTCCCCTAAAAATGTCTTTTTCTTGTCTAAAATTTGGGGGGGTTCCCCTCAAAATTTAGGGTCGTTTTTTCCCAAGTTTTGGGGTTTTTTTTCCCCAAGTTTTGGGGGTTTTCACCATAAATTTGGGGATTTTCTGTCCCTAGTGTTTGGGTTTATTACTCCCAAAATTTTTCCCCTGATTTTGGGGGCTTTTGCCCCAAATCTGGGGATTTTCAGCCCCAAACTCAGGGATTCCACTCCAAATTCAGAGATTTCATCCCAAAATTGGGGGGTTTTGCCCAAATCCGGGGATTTTTCACCCCAAATCCGGGGGAGTTTCAGCCCAAAATTTTGGGGGGTTTGTCCCAAAATTGGGGGGGTTTCATCCCCAATCCAGGAATTTCCTCCCAAAATTGGGGGTTTCCCCCCCAAATCCAGGAATTTCCTCCCAAAATCGGGGGTTTTTTCCTCAAAATCGGGTATTTTTTCCCAAAATTGAGGGTTTTTTTCCCCAGATTGTTTTTTTTCCCAAACCCGTGTGTTTTCACCCCGAATGTGTGTCCCTTTAGGAGGAGGGGCTCAAACTGACCTTCCAGAAGCACCGGTTGGGTCCCAACGGGGCCTCGCGGGCGCCGCCGCCCCCCAAGAAGAACAGCAAGAAACTCGTCGAGGTGGGTCAAACTCTCCTCGTTTTTGGGGCAAAAACACCCAGATTTGGGTCTTTTGGGGGTTGGAAAAGCTTTGGGGGGGTTACACTTGTTAATTCGGGCAAAAAAAAACAAAATTGTGATTTTTTTAACCAAAAATTTGAGTTTTTTCAGCCTAAAAATGTCATTTTTTTTCCCTTGGTACTTGAGGTTTTATCCTTTTTTTTGCCAATAAAATAAAATTTTTTTTTCTGAATTTTGTTGGAATTTGGGGATTTCTACCTAAAATTGTGCCTTTTTTTTTTTTGATAATGGAGGAATTTTTTCTCCTAAAAATGAGATTTTTTTTAAATTTTTTTTTTCTGTCAGAATTTGGGAGTTTTTTTCGCTCTGAAATTTGGGATTATTTTTCCCAAAATTTAGGGTTTTTTGGTCTAAAAATGTCTTTTTTTTCCCACCAAAATTTGGGGTTTTTCAGCCTAAAAATGTCAACTTTTCCCCCCCAAAAATTTTGGGGTTTTCAGCCTAAAAATATTATTTTTTCCCACCCAAAAATTTGGGGTTTTTTAGCCTAAAAATGTCCTTTTTTTCCCCACCAATATTTGGGGTTCTTCCAGCCTGAAAACGTCATTTTTTTCCACCAATATGTGGGGTTTTTTCAGCCTAAAATCTTCTTTTTTTTTCACCAATATTTGGGGTTTTTTCGGCCTAAAAATGTCATTTTTTCCACCAATATTTGGGGTGTTTTTCGGCCTAAAAATGTCATTTTTTTTCCCCAAATTTGGGGCTTTCCTTCCCCTCACATTTAATTTTTTTTTAATCTAAAAATCTGGTTTTTTACTCCAAAAATACCTTTTTTCACCCCACAATTTTTTTTAATTTTATTTTCCAAAATTCAGGTTTTTTCTTCTCCAAATTTCGATTTTTTTTCATAAAAATTGGAGGTTTTGTCTCCCCAAAATTTCGATTTATTTCATTAAAATTGGGGGGGGTTTTTTCCCCAAATTTAGGTTTTTTGTCATAAAAATTGGGGTTTTTTCCCCATATAAATGAAATTCTTTGTGATTTTTTGCCAGCTGGAGCTTCGGTGCCTGGAGGGGCTTCGGGACCCAGGGGGGGACCCCGAGAGGGACCCCCAGAACTGTGGCCCCGCCCCGCCCCCGACCCCCCCAGAGCTCGGCGCCGACCCCCGACTGCTCCAGGTGAGAAATGACCCAAAACCACCCAAATTACACCCAAAAATTACCCCCCAAACCCCCCCAACTGCTCCAGGTGAGAAGTGACCCAAAATCCCCCAAATTCACCCCAAAAATTACCCCCCAAAACCTCCAAACTGCCCCCAACCCCCCCGACTGCTCCAGGTGAGGAATCACCCAAAAAATCCCAAATTCACCCCAAAAATTACCCCCAAAACCCCCCAAACTGCCCCCAAACCCCCCCGACTGCTCCAGGTGAGGAATCACCCAAAAAATCCCAAATTCACCCCAAAAACCGACCGAAAATACCCCCAAATTCACCCCAAAAACTGCCCCCAAAAAAACCCAAATTCACCCCAAAAACTGCCCCCAAAACCCCCAAATTCACCCCAAAACCCGCCCAAATTCAACCCAAAACCCCCAAATTCACCCAAAACCCCCAAATTCACCCCAAAATCCCCTTTTTTCCCCCTCCCAGTTCGTGGATCCTCAGCGGGAAAAGTGGCACCGGAAAAAGGTACCGAAAACCCCCAAATTCACCCCAAAATTCCCTTTGTGGGCGTGGCCAAACCCCTGGCCACGCCCACCCCCTCTTTGGCCCCGCCCCCACCTGAGATTTCGGGGCGTTTTAGGCCATTTTTTGGGGGGGGGTTGATGCAGGTTTTTTTGTGTGTGGGTGTGGCTTGAGGGGCGTGGTCTGAATGACCACACCCCCTTCAGGCCACGCCCACCCCTCATTTAAATATCATTCTCCCAGTTCCTCCCCCCCAGGTTTGGACCTTTCCAAGATGGCGGCGCTGATGGGGGGCGGGGCCTCGTCCGAGAGGGGCGGGGCCTCCTCGACGGCGGGGGGCGTGGCCTCCTCGCAGGAAAGGGGCGTGGCCTCCTCTCCCCCACCGGGCGGCGGGTGCTGCCCCCTGCTGGCCGACCCCATGTTGCCGCCCACTTCCGATTCCGAATAGGCCACGCCCCCTTTTTAAGGTGGCCACGCCCCCTTCTCCCTCTGGCCACGCCCCCCTCGTATTTATATAAATATGTAAATCGTCTCTGTGTCCATAAAAAGGGGGGGTGGGCGGGGCTTGAGAAGGGGGAGGGGCTCTGAGAGGGGGAGGGGCTTGGAATAAAAAGGGGGAGGGGTTTGAGGAAGAGGGGGCGGGGCTTGGGAAAGGGGGAGGGGCCAAAAGGGTGTTTTTTTAATAAAAGGTGGTGAAATGGACTTAAAACGTGTGGTTGTGGTTAATTAGTGCCCTCATTAGGGAGTTTGCCTTTAATTAGCCCTTCATTAGTAAATTTGTGACTAATTAGCCCTTAATTAGCAAATTCTTGCCTAATTAAGCCCTTCATTAGTGACTTTTCCTTCCATTAATTAGTTCTGCCTTATGTAAGCCCTTAATTAACCCTTCTGTTAATTAATCCCAATTTAACCCGTAAACGAGCGTTAATGAAGCTCCTAATTAATCGTTAATCATAATTAATTAATACCTGCAAATTGAACTTCATTGATCCCTTCGTTAATTAATTCAGCCTCATTAACCCCCAATTGAAGATGCTCAACCCCCCCGTTAATTAGTCCTGACTTAATTAACCCCACATTGAGCCTTAATTAGCTCCCTAATTATGAGGGTCATTGTGTTAATAATATCGATAACAGCTGTAGTAATCAATCGACCACCCAATTAGCTCCCCAATTGTGACTGTTGTTATATTAATTAATAATATCAATTATTAATAATAATAGCACCAATAATCAACCAACCCCGCAATTAAACCCTTAATTGGTAAATCCCGACTCAACCCACCCCTCGCCGATCTTCATTAACCCCTCCGTTTATCAACCCCGGCTTAATTAATGAGCTTAATTAACCCTCCCCTTTCAGTCATTAACAGGTTAATCAATGCCTGTTAATGAAGCCCGTTCAATTAAACCCTCGTTAAGCCCCTAATTAAGCCTCGACTCTCCCCTTCCCCCGTTAATTACCGCAACTTAACTTAATTTACGTCCCTTTAATCAACAGCGTTATATACTCCCAACTTAATTAATATCACATTAATTAGCTCCTTAATTAACACCAGCATTACTATTAATAATCAACCAACCACGCAATTAATCCCTTAATTGGTAAATCCCCACTCAACCCCTTCGTTAATCAACTCCTGACTTAATTAACCCCTAATCGAGCTTAATTAACCCTCCCCCCCTCAGTAATTAACGGGTTAATCAACGCCCGTTCACGAAGCCCGTTCGATTAAAACTCTCGGCCCAGCCGCTAAACCCCCTCAATTAACCCTCCCCTCGTTAATTACCGCCCCTTTAATTACCTTAATTACCTTGTTTACCGCCCCTTTTAATTAGCGGCGCCCCGAGCGCCGCCGCCGCCAGGGGGCGCCGAGCGCTCCCTCCCTCACGGTTTTCCCGCCGCCGCGCGGGTCACGTGACCCCCCCGGGTTTCCCGCCCTTTTCCGCCCCGTCACGTGACGCGGGAGCCGCCGCCATTTTGCGTCCCCGCCCCCCCTCACGCCCCCGCCGCCATTTTGTCCCCGCCCCCCTCCCGCTCCCTCCCCCTCTAAACCCCATTTTTTTTATTTTTATTTTCTTTCCCTCCCTCACAACTCGGGTTTTTTTTACTTTTAATCTTTCGCTTTTCCCCCCCCGCGATAAACAAAGTCTCGAGTTTCTGTAAGTTTTAACTGCCCCCCCAAAAAACCAAATTCACCCCCAAAACTGCCCCCAAAATCCCCCAAATTCACCCCCAAAATTGCCCCCAAAATCCCCCAAATTCACCCCCAAAATTGCCCCCAAATACTCCCAAATTCACCCCAAAAACTGTTCCAAAAAAACCCCAAATTTTTCCCCAAAACCCCAAATTCACCCCAAAAACTGTTCCAAAAAAAACCCAAATTCACCCCCAAAACTGCTCCCAAAACCCCCAAATTCACCCCCAAAACTGCCCCTAAAAAACCCCAAATTAACCTCAAAAACTACCCCCAAATTCACCCCAAAAACTGCTCCCAAAAACCCCCAAATTCACCTCAAAAACTGCCCTCAAAATCCCCCAAATTCACCTCAAAAACTGCCCCCAAAACCCCCCAAATTCACCCCAAAAACTGCTCCCACAAACCCCCAAATTCACCCCAAAAACTGCCCCCAAAAACCCCCAAATTCACCTCAAAAACTGTCCTAAAACCCCAAAATTCACCTCAACCCCCCCCAAATTCACCCAAAATCCCCCAAATTCACCCCAAACCTCTCAAATTCACCCCAAAACCCCCAAATTCAACCACAAACCCCCCAAATTCACCTAAAACTCTCCAAATTCACCCTAAACTCTCCATATTCACCCCAGACCCCCCAAATTCACCACAAAACCCCAAATTCACCCCAAAACCCCCCAAATTTACCCCAAAATAGGAGTTTATTATACGGTAAAAGCAAAGCAGCCGCCCGGGTGACAGATTTGGGAACAATTTCCCAAATCTACAGGGTACTTTTAACATTTATCTGACCTATTTCATGCATATTAAATATATCAAATACATAATTATTTTACAGGTGTTTGCTAAGCATTTAATCTATGGGTTTTCTTCCAGCTAAATCTAAAAGGGTTTTATCTCTACCCTCTCATAATTTATCATTCTTGGACGAACAGCCGCCTAAAAACCCCATATTTTATTACTTTTAGGACAGCAGGGAGGTTTTAGGGCCTCTTGGCCTCATAAGGCTCTGTTTTATTTCTTTAATTCAATTTTACAATCCGTTTTATTTTGACGCAATCGCCCATTTGCGTTTCACGAATCAAAATTATTTATTTGAGTTTCCCCCCTCAAAGCGGCCCCTCAACCCCCTTTTTTTAATATCTTTTCCCCCTAAAAACGCTCCGAACCCGCCGCCATTTTCCCCCCCCTCACGTTCCCCCCTCCTCAAAACCCCCTTTTTTTTCTTTTCTTTTCTCCCTCAAACCTCTTTTTTTTTTTTTAATCTTTCGCTTTTCCCCCTCCGCGGCCTCTCCTTTCCCCCTTTCGCCTCAAAGCGGCTCCTCAACCCCCTTTTTTTTAACCTTTTCCCGTTAAAAACGCTCCGAACCCGCCGCCATTTCCCCCCCCCTCCCGTTCCCCCCCCCTCAAAAAAACCCCTTTTTATTTTTCTTTTCTCCCTCAGACCCCGGGGTTTTTTTATCTTTTCCTTTTCCGCCAGCAGCGGCGGCAGCTCCGTTCTTTTCCCTCCTTAAATCAGCTCCTCAACTCCCATTTTTTAATCTCTTCTCGTTAAAAACGCTCCGAACCCGCCGCCATTTTCCTCTTCCCGCTTCGCGCATGCGCGCAGCTCTTTTCCCCCATCACGTGACGCCGGCCCCGCCGCCATTTCCCCCCTCCCTCTCACCCTCCTCACGTGACCGCCGGAAGCGGAAGCCGTGCCCCCCTCAGGCCTCACTTCCGGTGGCGCCAGAGAGAGAGGCCGCTCCGTTCCGAGGCCGCGGCGGCGGCTCCGCTTTTACATAATTTTTATAACTTTTAACCGATTCCTGGAAGTTTTGGGGTTTTTCGGGGGGCGGGTTCGGGGAGGGGGTCTCTCTGGGGGCGCCCCCGGGCCCCCCCGATGGCGCTGTCGCTGGACAGAGAGGCCTTCGCGCGGCGGCTGCGGCGCCTCTACGGCAGCTGGCAGGTGGGGGAGGGGCCCGGGGGGGGCTGGTTTTGGGGCCAAATCGGGCGGTTTTGGGGCAATTCGGGTGTGGGGGGGGAGGGGGAAAAGGGGGAGGGTTGGGGAGAAAGGGGAGGGAGGGTTGAGGGAAGGGCGGGATTTTTGGAGTGGGTTTGGGGTGAATTTGGGGTGGATTTGGGGGATTTTTGGGGGGTTTAGGAGCGATTTTGGGGGCGAATTTGGGGATTTTGGGGGTGAATTTGGGGGATTTTGGGTTTGAATTTTTGGGCTTCGAGGAGTTTGGGGTGAATTTGGGGGGGACTTGGGGTGGATTTGGGGAGTTTGGGGGCTTTTGGGGTGGATTTCGGGTGAATTTGGGGGGTTTTGGGGGTGAATTTGGGGGATTTTTGGGGGGGTTTAGGAGCGATTTTTGGGGTGAATTTGGGGGATTTTTGAGGGGGTTTTGGGGTGAATTTTTGGGCTTTGAGGGGTTTGGGGTGAATTTGGGGGATTTGGGGTGGATTTGGGGTGAATTTGGGGGCTTTTGGGGTGGATTTGGGGTGAATTTGGGGGGTTTTGGGGTTTAGGGGTAAATTTTGGGGTGAATTTGGAAGAATTTGGGGGGTTTGGGGTGAATTAGTGGAGTTTTGGGGTGAATTTAGGGCCTTTTGGGTTGAATTTGGGGGGTTTGGGGTGAATTTGGAGAATTTAGGGGAGAATTTGAGGGTGATTTTGGGGTTTGGGGATAAATTTTGGGGCGATTTTTGGGGAGTTGGGGTGAATTTTGGGGGATTTGGGGTGAACTTGGGGTTTTGGGGGTGGATTTGGGGGTTTTAGAGTTTTGGGAGCGAATTTTGGGGTGGATTTGTGGGATTTTGGAGTGAATTTGGGGGGTTTTAAGGTGATTTCAGGGCTGAGTTTTGGGGGGTTTTGGGTTCATTTGGGTTTTTTTGGGTTTGTTTGGGGATTTATTTGGGGGGGTTTTGATTTATTTTGGGTTTATTTGGGGCTTTTGGGTTTGTTTGGGATTTATTTGGGTTTATTTGGGATTTTTTTGGGTTTATTTGGTTTTTTTTTTTTGTGGTTTTATTTGGGGTTTTTGGGAGAGTTTTTTGGGGGTTTAGGTTTATTTGGGGTTTTTGGGTTTATTTGGGTTTTATTTGGTTTTTTTTGGATTTACTTGAGATTTAGTTGGATTTTGG